ACTCTTTCCTGCCCATGGCAGGGGGTCGGACTTGATGATCTGCTCAGGTCCCTGCTGACCCGACCAACTATGAAACTATGCGCAGGTCAAGCTGCTCGAACCAGAGTTGTCCCCAGAAGGTTTTACAGCTTGTCAAACTAGTGCCACATTTAATGTGTTGGATACCAAAAACCCAGTATTGCAGGACACACATTAGGGGAAGGTAATGATACTCTTGCAAGCTCAGTTCACAAAATAAGCTCTGCCCACACGAGGCACGGCTTCACAGGACATTTTGCAATGTTCAGAATTTGAGCTGTCGTGTCCTCTGGTGTCCAGGGATCAGGTTCCTCTTAATTGTGTTCAAGTACATCCAGGGGCTGTGTGCTTGGCTTCCCCAGTATGGCTCACATGGCCCACTGGGCATTGACATCATCCTCAGGCAATGATAGCTCAGATGTCCCAACAGGTGTTGATAAGCAGCTTGGGCCTGGCTCCCTTGTAATTGGGGGAGAAAACAACTGGCCGTGTCTCCCAGGCCCACTTGATGGTGATCCTAAATGAGTCCTCGCTGAGATCATGCAGATTTTACACAATTCTCACATTCTGTTCATTGGCCTGGTCTGCTCTCGAAAAGTTTTGCTAGTACAGATGTGCCAGAAGAGCTGTACTGGCACCAACCCGAGTGGAGGAACAACTTATAACTGTATAGTTTCCATCAGCTCCCTGACTGGCAGGAGCTACCTCAGCCAAAGGATTTGGTTGCTGCTATAACTGCCTCTACACTGGGGCTTTTGCTGGCACAGCTCTGTTGGGCCGATGTGTAATTTCTCTTCACTCTCCTAACTGCCCTACCCAAATCAGCAGACCTGAGATGTTTGGACAATATGTAAAACTTTTCATGGTGTTGATGGTGGACCAAAAGGAATCTTATAGGGTGTGTCCAGGTTTCATAGATTTCATAGACATTAGGGCTGGAAGGGACCTCGGAAGATCACTGAAAGATGAATGTGTCCATGCATTTCCTCAGGGACAAATAGCGGCACAACTATGTGCCACCGTGCCTGGCTCTGGCCAGCCAGGCTCTGGTTTCAGGTAGTGCATGCTGCCACCACACGCACCATCCCACTTTTTTCAGGTGCAGGTTTTTTTGACCCCAGGATCTCCTGGGGTCAAAAAAAAACCCTGCCACACTGCAAATCAGCAGCACAATGAAAGCCTGAATGTGCAGCACATGCGGTCTGCAGGGCCGCATGAGCACGCTCGTCTGGACACACCCATGAGGTTCAATAAAGACAAGTGCAAAATCCTGCACTAGGATGGAACAATCCCATGCACCAGTACAGGCTGGGGGCTGACCAGCTAAATAGCAGCTGTGCAGAAAGTAGGAACATTGCCAGCAGGTTGAGGGAAGTGATTATTCCCTTTTATTTGGCCCTGGTGAGGCCACATCTGGAGTACTGTGCCCAGTTTTGGGCCCTGCACAACAGAAAGGATGTAGACAAATTGGAGAGTCCAGTGGAGGGCAGTGAAAATGGTGAGGGGGTTGGGGGGCATCATTTACGAGGACAAACTGAGGGAACTGGGCTTATTTAGTCTGGAGAAAAGAAGACTGAGAGGAGATTTAAAAGCAGCCTTCAACTCCCTGAAGGGTCTTTCCAAAGAGGATGGAGCTGGGCTGTTCTCCGTGGTGGCAGATGACAGGACAAGGAGCAATGATCTCAAGTTGCAACAAGGGAAGTTCAGGTTAGATAGTAGGAAAAACTTTCTCACAAGGAAGGTAGTAAAACGCTGGAACAGGTTACCCAGAGAGTTGTGTAATCTTCATCCTTGGAGGTTTTTAAGACCTGGCTAGACAAAGCCTTGGCTGGGAGAATAGTTATAGCTGGTCCTGCTTTGAGCAGGGGGTTGGACTTAGATGACCTCCTGAGGTCCCTCCCAACCCTAATTTTCTATGATTGCATGATGTAGAAAGTATTGTCATTGGGCACGCAAGTTAGAAACCTCCAAGACATACTGAGCAGCTCTTGTCTTTCTGCTACTGCTTTAGGTTCTGCAAATGCAGAAATTGCTGTCCTGAGTTCACTTCTTAGAGGATCTCTCAGTAACTGGAACAACTGTGGACTTTCTTTTTTGTTTAATGCAAATGATTAGTTCTGGGGAACAAGATGACGGCAAGAAGCAGGAGTTGGTAGGCTGGCTCCCCATGGTCTGGTTGTAGTTGGGTGTTGGTGTGGATACTCTGTGGAGCACCCAGACCCCTGAAGTGTTCATGTACTCTATTTGGAAAAATCAGGGTTTGGATCAAACCATGTGAGAAAATATTGTGGAAGCCTGGTACTACTGAGTCTGAGAGTCTCCCAAATGGGAGTCTAGTTTTTCTTGCTACCTCTTGTGGTTTGTTGGTGTAGGTTTTCTTAGCTACTGCCTTCTTTACTGAAGACTACAATGAAGGGCACTATAGAAAAGCCCATACATAAGACAAATTCACTTTAAGTTCTTTTTACTGGATGTGAATCAGATGACTGTGGGAGCCAAGACACTAAACACTTGATGCTCTTTATTCTTTGAGGAGGTTTGTACACATTTTGGTGTGTACTTTGGGTGTCTTGCTAAGAAAACAAATCTTCTTTCCAAGCTTCCTCCTCAAGTGGGATTATTTATAAAACAGCAATATCTCTTTATACACTGTACTGTTTATCAAACCAGTAATAAAATATATCACGCCAGCAACTCCAG